AAGCCTACAAACTAGTGAAATAATTTGATGGCCTATACAATACTTTAAATACCGTATCGGTGGTCATATCAGTCGAGCCATCGGTACGCGATATTACCAGTCGAACCGGTTATACCAATAGTATTACCGGACAACCAAAGATAACATTATATATTTATATATTAATATAATAAAGTATTGAAAATACAAAACTTAACTTCCAAAATTACGGTTAGCAACTCCAAACTTATTGATGCTAAAGCGTGAAAATTACAAGTTTGAACATCAAATTAATAAAACTAGTACGTACCCCGTGCGATGCACGAGACAAAGATATTAAATGAGTTATTTTCACAGGCTCTGTCCGTTTACGTCTAAATATTGTTTATCATCTATTTTCCACATCTTTTAATCAGCGTTAAGTCTAAAAAACAACAGGGGTATAATATATTTTTCACTTTTAATCATCGTTGTTTTGTTTAAGCCAGAATATTAAATATGAGCATGTTAGGGCTAGCTTGTAAAATAATTAATATATTATCTCATTAACACATTAAACTAATATAAATCAAATTTTATTATATATATTTATTCCTTGATATAAAGGAAAATAATAGTTTTGTTTATTCTTATTCACCATATTATACTTTTTAGATAAGGTGGGGGATGCCAACCTTGAATGGCACCCAACGGATAAATGTTAGCTGCCGTATGGAATTGTAGAGGGCTGGGTGGGCCCTCTATAATTTCCCAAACTAAAGAGACAATGAGGTCTCACCACCCAAGTCTATTTTTCTTCTTTGAAACTAAAAAGTCTAGTACCTATATTCGGTCTATTAGTAGGAAATTAGGTTATGATGACAGGCTGGCAATAGTAGAAGCAAGGGGCCTGAGTGGTGGCTTAATACTGTTTTGGAAGCTGAAGTGGAGATTATTCAGTTAGCTTCTAAGGAATTTTACATAGCTGTTAACTTCATGGTGGATAATGTGGAGAAGGGTTGGGGTGTGTTTGTCTACATGAGTACAGACAGAGCCACTAGAGCTTCTCAATGGATGGTTTTGGAAGAATATAGGCTCTCATGGGGAGACACCTGGTTCTTGATGGGAGATTAGAACGATTTATGCTCCATGGTGGACAAGAAGGGTGGGAAAGCTAGAACTGCTGGAAGTTTTGAAGCATTTAACTTTTTCATTGATAATATGGAAATGGATGAGATCTGTATGGAAGGTTATCAATATACTTGGGGAAACAACCATGAAGCAGAGGGATATGTGGAAGAAAAACTTGATAAAGCTTTTGCTTCATTTAAATGGTTCATCTCCAATCCCAATGCTTCAGTGTTAAACGTTGCCAAAAGTGCATATGATCATTCACTCATCCTGCTTAATCTTGGTTCCCAATTAACAAGATAGAAAAGAAGATTCTTATTTAATAGAAGGTGGACAGAGAGAGAGAGAGAGGATATCACTGAGGTGGTTCAAAGAGCATGGAGTCTGCCCCAGCTAGGCACTCCCTTCTTCAGGTTGAAGGAGAAGGTGAAATCAAGAATTGCCTTACTGCATTGGAGCTCTCAGTTCAAAACCCAGAACCAGACTAAAATTTCAGAATTGACTAAGCAGATGGAAGATCTAAGAAATGCTGGGACCAGTGCAAACTGGGAAGCTTCTCTACTCACAGGGATCTTGAAAGTGCTCATCTTGTTGAAGAGAAGTTTTGGCAGCAGAAAGCAAGAATAGAATGGCTTAGAGAGGGTGACATTAACTCTAAATTTTTCCATGCCTACACCCTTCACAAAAGAAGGGAAAATGTCATCACTCGGCTGATTTTAGACAAAAACACCACACTCACTTCTAGAAGAGAGATTGAGGACCATATAGCTAGCTATTATTATACTCTTTTTACATCTGAAGGCTATTGGAGAAAAGAAT